CAAATAAGCGCAGCCATGGTTAGCAGAAGAGAATTATTTTAAAAGTATTTAAAATCGTACCGACCCCAAACTTTTAAACGGTAGTGTATATATATATAATTTGTTTATATAATCAATTAATTATATTAATATTTATATATATATCTGTATATATAATCAATGAATTATATTGATATTTATATATATATATTTGTATATATAATCAATGAATTTAATTGATATTTATATTATATATATATATTTGTATATATAATCAATTAATTATATTAATAGATTATATATATATATATATATAATTTGTATATATAATCAATTAATTATATTAATATATATATAATTTGTATATATAATCAATTATTTATATTAATATTTATATTATATATATATAATTTGTATATATAATCAATTAATTATATTAATATATATATATATATAATTTGTATATATAATATATATATATATAATTTGTATATATAATCAATTATTTATATTAATATTTATATTATATATATATAATTTGTATATATAATCAATTAATTATATTAATATATATATATAATTTGTATATATAATCAATTATTTATATTAATATTTATATTATATATATATAATTTGTATATATAATCAATTAATTATATTAATATATATATATATAATTTGTATATATAATATATATATATCTATATATAATTTGTATATATAATCAATTAATTATATATATATATATATATATAATTTGTATATATAATCAATTAATATATATATATATATATATATATATATATATATATATATATATATATATATATATATATATATATATAAAAAAAAAATTTGTATATATAATCAAGTAATTATATTAATATTTATATTATATATATTATATATATATACACTCACCGGCCACTTTATTAGGTACCCCATGCTAGTAACGGGTTGGACCCCCTTTTGCCTTCAGAACTGCCTCAATTCTTCGTGGCATAGATTCAACAAGGTGCTGGAAGCATTCCTCAGGGAGTTTGGTCCATATTGACATGATGGCATCACACAGTTGCCGCAGATTTGTCGGCTGCACATCCATGATGCGAATCTCCCGTTCCACCACATCCCAAAGATGCTCTATTGGGTTGAGATCTGGTGACTGTGGAGGCCATTTTAGTACAGTGAACTCATTGTCATGTTCAAGAAACCAATTTGAAATGATTAGAGCCTTGTGACATGGTGGAAGTAGCCATCAGAGGATGGGTACATGGTGGCCATAAAGGGATGGACATGGTCAGAAACAATGCTCAGGTAGGCCGTGGCATTTAAACGATGCCCAATTGGCACTAAGGGGCCTAAAGTGTGCCAGGAAAACATCCCCCACACCATTACACCACCACCACCAGCCTGCACAGTGGTAACAAGGCATGATGGTTCCATGTTCTCATTCTGTTTACGCCAAATTCTGACTCTAACATCTGAATGTCTCAACAGAAATCGAGACTCATCAGACCAGGCAACATTTTTCCAGTCTTCAACTGTTCAATTTTGGTGAGCTCTTGCAAATTGTAGCCTCTTTTTCCTATTTGTAGTGGAGATGAGTGGTACCCGGTGGGGTCTTCTGCTGTTGTAGCCCATCCGCCTCAAGGTTGTGCGTGTTGTGGCTTCACAAATGCTTTGCTGCATACCTCGGTTGTAACGAGTGGTTATTTCAGTCACTGTTGCCCTTCTATCAGCTCGAACCAGTCTGGCCATTCTCCTCTGACCTCTGGCATCAACAAGGCATTTCCGCCCACAGAACTGCCGCTCACTGGATGTTTTTTCTTTTTCGGACCATTCTCTGTAAACCCTAGAGATGGTTGTGCGTGAAAATCCCAGTAGATTAGCAGTTTCTGAAATACTCAGACCAGCCCTTCTGGCACCAACAATCATGCCACGCTCAAAGTCACTCAAATCAACTTTCTTCCCCATACTGATGCTCGGTTTGAACTGCAGGAGATTGTCTTGACCATGTCTACATGCCTAAATGCACTGAGTTGCCGCCATGTGATTGGCTGCTTAGAAATTAAGTGTTAACGAGCAGTTGGACAGGTGTACCTAATAAAGTGGCCGGTGAGTGTATATATATATATATATATATATATATAAATCTGGTTTCTGGGTTCTGAGGTCTCCTTCCAAAAGGTTACCAATTTGAACGAGATAATTGACGGTTAATAATTTTATTTTTAATAATAATGAGAGGACATTGTGCTAATAAGCTTTGAAAATAACAATAACGTCAAATTTCAGAGACAGATGCAGTTGTAACTTAAACATTTTATTTGTGTATATTAAAGTTTTTTTAAATTCTCTAAAAACTCTAGAATTCTTTTAGAGCTCCTTGAAAGTTTAATGAAAACATTTTCAACAATTTCATCAATAATTAGCATTTCCATCAGCTATATTGTTAACCATTTTAATGCTCTAAACCTTCTTTCACCAAAATCCTTGGGTGGAAACTTGGCTATAGTTGAAATATGAACTATACAAAAAAATAGCAATAGACTGTTGTGATGATATTCTCATATATTTATCAAATCTTTGTGCATGTGTGTGTGTGTGTTTGTGTGTGTGTGTGTGTGTGTGTGTTTGTGCGTGTGTGTGTGCGCGTGTGTGTGTGTGCGTGTGTCTGTGCGCGTGTCTGTGCGCGTGTCTGTGTGTGTGCGTGTGTGTGTGTGCGTGTGCGCGTGTGTGTGTGCGTGCGTGTGCGTGTGTGTGTGTGTGTGTGTGTGTGTGTGTGCGCGTGTCTGTGTGTGCGTGCGTGCGTGTGCGTGTGTGTGCGTGTGCGTGTGTGTGTGTCCGTGTGTGTGCGTGCGTGTGCGTGTGCGTGTGCGTGTGCGTGCGTGTGCGTGCGTGTGCGTGCGTGTGCGTGCGTGTGTGTGTGTGTGTGCGCGTGTGCGTGTGTGTGTGTGTGCGTGTGTGTGTGTGCGTGTGTGTGTGTGTGTGTGTGTGTGTGCGTGTGTGCGTGTGTGTGTGTGTTGCAGAGGAGCACGAGGCCGGTGGACACCGAGAGATGATGGATGTGTTGGGACGGACAGTCATGGCCATGTTCAACAAATACTGGATCTACATCTGTGGAGGAATGTTCTTCTTCGTCAGCTTCGAGGGACGCATCGTCATGTACAAGATCATTTACATGATGATGTTCCTGTTTTGCGTAGCACTTTATCAGGTGTGTGTTGAGCTCCTACACAGCAGAGCAACTCCAGTGCACTCTCTCCAATAGATTCATCATCACTGGAATGTTTAAGCGCTGTTTTATATTAATGACAGTGGGAAACACAGTATAGATGTAATAGACTATAATCAATGCAGATTTTTGTTGTTGTTTTTTTGTCTACTTTATATTTTGTTTGTTGTTTTGTCTACTGTCGTTTTCTTTGTCATCTGTTTGTTTTGTTTGTCTATCATCTATTTATTTTTGTTTGCATTCATCATTGTTTTTTTGTTTATCATTTGTTTGTTTGTTTATCGTCCATTTGTTTTGTTCTTCTATCATGTTTTTGTTTTTCTAACCTATTTTTTGTTTGTTTATCGTCCATTTGTTTGTATATAATCAGTTTTTTATTTCCCTCATCTATTTGTTTATCATCCATTTGTTTGCCTCATCTATTTGGTTTTTGTTTATCATCCATATTGTTTCGTTTGCCTATAATCTTTTTTTTGTTTGTTTATCATTCATTTGTTTTGTTTGTTGTTTTTTGCCTCATCTGTTAGTTTTTGTTTTGTTTGTTTACCATCTATTTGTTTTTTGTTGATCATCCATTTGTTTTTTCATCCATTTGTTTGTTTGCTTTGTCTTTGTCTATCATCTATTTGTTTTTGTTTCTTTTTTCGTCTGTTTGTCTACTGTCAGGTGTCTACTGTTACTGTATCATCTCTGCGTTTGTTTTTTGATTTGTGTCATTTGTTTGTCCATTTGTTTTTGAATGCCCCCCCCCCCCCCCCCCCCTCTTCTGTGTGTCTGTAACTGCACACGTCATTATAACTAAAGTCAGCTGATGTGTTGTGCGACTCGTTTCAGTTGCACTATGAGAGGTGGCGATGGATGTTGAAGTATTTCTGGATGTCAGTGGTGGTCTACACCATGCTGGTGCTCATTCTGGTCTACACTTTCCAGTTCGAGTCCTCCATAAACGTGTGGTCCAACATGACTGGCATGAGCAGAGAGAAGTAAGCATTTAACACATCTTCTACAGTCAAACCTAAATATATTCAGACACATTTCTCACATCATCACAGTTTATTCGCTATAGTTTAGACAATGGTGATAAACATGAGCAGAACTCAGTGGATATTTGACTGGTTTTGTCCGTCCTTCTGTTAGACTCTCACACATGAATTATGATGAATATCTGTCAGCTGTTAAATTTAACTACACAATTAGATAATACCAGTTTAGCTCAACCAGTGACCAAGCAATGCTTCATGTTGTTCAGTGTGTGTGTAAAAAGAGCATTAGCAATTACAGAAAACACACTTCAGCAAAACATCATCAGCTCAAAGTGGAGGAATCATTTTTAGTCCCAAATGTGTATAAATGTCACTGGTAGTCACTGTATGAAGAATATTTGTGTATAATATGTCACAGTTTACTTTATTTTGCTCTCCTCACTTACATAAATGATCTATAGTTTAGCTCAACCAGTGACCAAGCACTGAAGTTTTAACATCTACTCTCGTGTAATGGAAATCACACACTAGTGAACAAATATCAAAAATTATATCTGGTGTCTGAATCATTTTTGGTTTGACTGTATATGGACTAATATTTGTGCAATTATGATGCACGGTCTGATGCATCTGCAACATGGCAGATTGTGGTGTGCTAACTGAGCTCGTGGTCTGCGCAGGCTGAAAGATCTCGGTCTGGAGAAGTTCTCGGTTCCGGCTCTGTTCTCACGCATCTTCATCCCCACGTCGTTCCTGCTGGTGTGTATCCTACATCTGCACTACTTCCACGAGCGGTTCCTGGAGCTCACCGACATCAAGTCTGTGGCCGACAAACAGAAGAGCACGATCTCCAGGTACAGTCCTGCTCGTGCACATCACAAAAGTAAAGTGTTGGACGGGTCGTGAAAGACGAAAAGACGTTTGTATGTGTTCTAAATCAACGATTGCACTGAATGTCAGCTTGCTTATTTTGCTCAAGATCAGGATTTATTGAGTCCACATGAAAACTAGAAACTCTTCTAACCGCAGCTCGAGATCTGTCGCTCACACACACACCTCTGCGACGCTGTTTGCGAATGTTCGTTGTAACGATGGTTTCGGGAAACACACCCCTGTTTACTTCCTGTCTCTATGAAGCCCCTCCTCCTGAAAAGCACACTGTGCTCTGATTGGTCGGCTGGAGCAGTGTGTTGTGATTGGTCGAGCGCTTCGAGTGTGTTTGGGAAAGTCCCGCCCCTTTCCATAACCGCCAGTTTAACACACTACTAACTAACTCAACCAGGCCCCGCCCCTTTATTCTGCGCATGAATTATTATAATGAGGAATATTACATTTAAATTTGTACATTTTGTGCACGTCTGGCCCTTGCGGTTGTGTTCCCGTTGTTCTCTCCAGAGCTGCTCACGCTCAGACTGGAGATTGTGAGTCGACAGCCCTTCTCAAGTCTCTGGACTCCAGGAAATTAACAATGTTGCTTTTAAAGCATTCCTGTGACGCTGGAAGCTTTAGCGACGCGTCATATTTTAAGTTTCTGAAAAACAGATCCTCTGATAATGTGCATGTTGCCTGAAGACCAAAAGACTCAATGTTGATTTTATCATTAGGCCTGTCACAATTATGTTACAATTAATTGTCATACAAATAAATGCATTAATGTTTTTATGTCACTTTTTATGTAACTAATGTTTGTACTTAGAATTGTATATAATATAATTTTAAAAATTATAATACAATAGGCCTATATGATTTAGTTTATTGGGTTACACTTTATTTTAAGGTGTCATTGTTACAGTCTAGTTATATATTTAAGTACTGAGTAATATTAATAAACTACATGTACTACTATAGGGTTAGGGTTTGGTTGAGGGTTAGTTGCTTGTATGTAATTATGCATAATTTACTGTTACTACTATAATAAGTACATGTAACGTAACAAGGACACTGTAAAATAAAGTGTTACCACTTAATGCTGTGAAAATTATCAATATGTACTTTATTATTTAAAATATTGTAAATTATAATATAATAATACAATAGTTTCTTATTGTTTTTATTCTGTAGGGTTTAATAATCTAATAACATCAAAATTATTTATTATTATTATTAATGGTAATATAATCATAATATAATAAATATGATCATAATCAAAATAAAATAATGATAATATAACTATAATTTATGAATTCTGTCTTTGTTACTTACTTGTTAGAGATATTTTTCAGTCTTTATTTCTGTTTATCAGTTTAAAAAAAAAACAGTTCAGTACTTTTGTCTCTCAGCTTTTGGTTTTTAATAGGCTTTATGCACAGCTTCACTACTTCCTGAACTTCAGCCAGCTCCTTTGTTTCCTGTCTGCCATTATTGGACAAACTGATTAATTCAGGTGTGCCTGGCCTCAGTAACAATAATCAGGCACACCTGGATTAATCAGTTTGTCCAATAATGTAGTGAAGTAGTGAAGCTGTGCATAAAAAGCCTATTGGGTGAAGATGGATGTGAATCAGGGCCTAGTTTCATCACTCAGGCTTTATCGTCCTTGATTCCAGGCTGGTGCATCTGGACGGCAGTCTGGTGGACATCTCCATGGTCAAGCCCACGCTCGGCTCCACCGTGAGCCCAGACAAGGTAGAGGAGACCGTAGACCTGGAGGAAGAGGAGGAGGAGTTTAAACAAATGGACGAGGAGGAGGAGAAGTCTGAGCCACACGTCATTCCTGAGAGCGACACCTGCCAGATGATGCCAGATCCGGCGCCAGACCAGGGATCAGGTAGTTATGACCTTCAGAGTGTGTGTGGAAGTACACGTCTTTAGTGTGTAGTGTTGCTGTTTGAGCATTAAAAGCCAGTTCTTCTCTATATGAGTGTTCCTGAACTCCTGAAACGCCTCCATTGTAGTCTTGAGTTTCTCCCGGGAACGAACACGCCACAATATCCCTCATTATAATAATTCATGCGCAGAATAAAGGGGCGGGGCCTGGTTGAGTTAGTAGGTAGAGTGTTAAACTGGTGGTTATGGAAAGGGGCGGGACATTTCCCAAACACACTCAAAGCGCTCGACCAATCACAACACACTGCTCCAGCCGACCAATCAGAGCACAGTGTGCTTTTCAGAAGGAGGGGCTTCATAGAGACAGGAAGTAAACAGAGCGTTACTGACAGACTGGGAAGAGAGGAGCCGCAACAATGGAGAATATGAGGAAAATAATCAACATTCAAGCAGGAAAACCTGTTCTAGTAGAGATCAAACACAAGACTTTGTGAAAGAGCTCTTTAAAATAAGAAATAAACATATTCATGTTCATTTAGTAAATGCAGTAAAACCCGAGCATATCCCTGCAGATGGTGTCCTTTAAACATATTAAATTAAATTACAAGACCAAATGATACTTTATATCCTGGCTTTTAATGAAACGCACTATAAAATTCTGAATTCATATTGGTTGCTCTCACTGTAGCAATACAACTGGAAGAGGCTTTTATTGGCCTGACGGGCAGGACAGAGTAAACAGAGCGGGATAAATATGTCTAGACTTGTTTAATGTGTAAACACTTTTACAGTCGGGCCTGAGGAAGAGCCGATGTGCTGTCTTTCACACCGGCGTGTTCAATTCCTGCTTATAACTGGACTGAATAAAGACCATATACTTACAACATTATTCAGAAGGGGAAATACGCATTTGATTTCCAAACTTTCCTCTCTATATTCAAAAGGAGTTTTGAGAGCTAATTTATGTTTTTTATGTGTGCATTATTATTCTGTGTGTAGCAGCTGTGTTTGTGTGTATGGAGTTACACATTCCACAACAGGTCAAACTTTGGTTTTCTAAAGAGTAGTTACTCAAACACTTGTGCTTTATGTATTTCATAAACACGTCAAAAGCCTGTCGCTGTGATTCATCCACGGGTGTCTGTGTTTTATGACCGCTTCGAGATTGGAAATATTTTACGCATTATTGTCTGTTTCGTGGATCTGGCTGAAATGTTTAGGCTCAGCTCCGGTGTCGTAATGTTGACGGATGGCTCTGTGAGTGTTGCTGTGTTCAGGGACGGGATCTCACTGATAGTCCTGGAAACAGCCGAAAAACATCGCTTGCCTTCACAGAAATGTCTGGTGGATGTGATGTTTCCTGCACATGTGAAGCACAGTTGCATTTTACTAGTGTTTTTTATACTATTGTAGTATTTATTCATATTTTTTATTTGAGTGCGTTTTTGTTTTATATATTTATATTCAGCTCTTTTTTTTTTTTTGGTTTTATTTTAGCACTTCAACTTATTTCAGATAGTTGGCATTTTTTTTTAAGTTTTTAAGTTTTCATCTAATATTTATATTTCATTTTATTTCAGCTTGAAAATAATAAAAAACAGTTTTAGTTATCAAAAACTACTCAAGTTGTGTCACCAAATGATGCATTCCTTATACACTTTGCACTTTGTACTTTCCCGTCTGGTGTATGAGATTTTATCGCTCAATGTTTTTGTCGTCCGATGTTGAAGTCTAATAGCCTCTCTTCTTCCGCTGCGGATTTAAAGCTGTTGTTTGTACATGAACATTAAGTGCATCTTCTGGGTATTTAAAGTGCACTATTTGTTGTTGAGATTTTTTGGTAGAAAGTGGAACACACTATTATATACATGGCTTAGAATAGTGCATAAGTATGCGAATTGGACTGCATTTTCAGTTTTCAGAATAGCGATTATGAATCTTGATTATGAGTCAATCATACAACTTTTTTGCTCACCAGTGGTTTTCCAAAGTTTCTAGCCACTCAGCATTTTCACTGGCCGCAATTTTGACATTAGGAAAACTGCCATATCGATATTTTTAATATTATCTCATAATTTGGAAGCAGGAATATTAGGCTGCTGTCACTTTAAGACCTGATGCACAGATCCATTATACTGTTACACGTGCGTTTTCTTTCTCGACTGTTTACATTCACTTAAAACATAACTGACTGTGTTTACGTGAATACTCACCAAGACTGGCATTTTGACATTATTTTGTGTGTATTTCACTGTTTAAGCGCAATAAGCAGTGAAAAAGAACTCAATTTAGTTCTGAGAGATGGCTTTATGTGTGTGTACTTTGGGTGTAAGCACAAAATCTGCAGGAATGAGTGAAATTATGCGCAATCCCACACTGAAACACAAGCCCTGTGAATAATATTAATAATAATATTCATCCGGAGCAAATGAATCGAGTGAGTGAGGAGAGGCGGGGTTGTGTGTAACTCGCTGTCGGAGAGATGAGAGAGAGAGAAAGAACAGCTGGTATTGTGTATCTATTCTGAAATTTCAGTATCGGTATAGAAAAATCTATATTTTTGACAACACTATATTGCACTTAGTTTATTATTTCAAATGCCTTTTTAAAAGTCTAAAATTGAAAAATGTATATATTACTGTTAACCCACTAAGAGACTAGTAGGAGTGATTGCGTTACACCGTTACACGCCACTGCTGAAACACACACACATTTGGGTGATTGGCGGGTGTTAATGTCAAGCCCTGATCCTGTTTGTTTTTCTTGTGAAGCGCTGAGGAATAAGTGGCACCTGGTGGTGGAGCGCCTGACGGTGTTGTTCCTGAAGTTCCTGGAGTACGTGCAGAAGCTTCAGCTCTTCATCTGGTGGCTCCTGGAGCTCCACATCATCAAGATCGTCTCCTCCTACATCATCTGGGTCTCAGTCAAAGAGGTGAACGCCGCAGAGCAAGGCAAAAAGTGCTCTTAGAGGGATGGTTCACCCAAAAATAAAAATTCGCCCGTGATTTACTCACCCTGAAGCCATCCTAGGTGTATATGACACTCTTCTTTCAGACGAATACAATCAGAGTTATATTAAAAAATGTCCTGGCTCTTCCGGCACACGGCCGTACGCATCGACTTGAAAGAGCAACACTTGAAATTAATAACTGACGCCTCTCGAATACAATAGTTTAGCACAGATATATTTTCACTTACTTTACCTAAACTTGAACACTCTGATTTGTCACTCACCGTCTTTACAGCTCACTACTTCTATTGATATATTATAATGGGTGTAAATGCTATTGTTTCTTGTTTTGTTTTTATCAAAATGACTGCATTAATTATTAATTATGCAGCCTTTAAAGGGGGGGTGAAACACTCAGTTTCACTCAATCTCATGTTAATCTTGAGTCTTGAGTCTGGAAGCTGTGAGTGACATCCGAAAATAAACCATGGCTAACAATCAGATAGTAATCCCATGCAGAACAAGGATCTAAACAATACTAAGGGCTCGTTCATACAGAACGCGTTTTTGCTCACAAAAACCTGAGATGGGCAGTGAAATGGGTGAAAACCATAAGGTCTCGAGCGTTTTTTTAAAAATAGAAATGATTTGAACTTGAGCGCAGTGTTTTTAGAACACCATGTCATGCGCGAGTTTTATGACATTTGTGTGTTGTAAACAGACAGACTCGTGGTTTATGAGGACATGATTTATTTTTACAATAAACAAACTGACACCTACAGTGGCCAGCTAAACAAATGTATTTAAACACACACACACACACACCATACATCGCATGCTCCATAGATACATTAACTGTATGTGCTCATGTTGTTTACTTGCTGTGCTTACACGCCGATAGTTAACAACTCACAAATTTGAAGCAGTTTTACTCACCGCCTGCGGTTCCAACGCACGACCGTGAACCTTTATCGTTGGGACTGCTCCATCTAAAGATGAGATTTGAGACTTCTCCACTCAAGAAGTATTAGGCGATCTGCAAATCCGGCGTTGAACTGGGCCTTGTTTATAAAACTATTACCGTCGAAATGAAGGGAACAAACAAAAAAACTTGCACAACTCCGTTGCTGCTCTGGAAAAACAAAATCCATCCACAGGTCCCTTAACGCTGGGTTCTTTGGAAATTTGTGCAGTGTTGTCTTGCCCTGGCAACCAAAAACACACTTTTTTGGTGCCATTTTTTTAATTGCAGCGCAGCCGACTGAGCCCAGCGCTCTGATAACCCTACTCTCGCACGCACTACAGATGCGCGCGCACCCTTCCGGGAGAAGAGCCCTTAAGACCCGTATAAGGAAATTCCGGCCACTCTGACGTCACACACGCCCGTATTCGAAAAAAACTTTCCGAAACTTGTGACAAACCCGGAAGGAGCATTTTTGGAACAGAATTACTCCATCAAACTTACAACTTTGTCCATGTTTAGCATGGGAATCCAACTCTTTAACAGTGTAAAAAACTCACTATGCATGAAACAGCATTTCACCCCCCCTTTAAGTACAAGCAGAATCCACTACTGGGTCCTTACAGTCCACGTTTTGAATTCAACCAATCATATCAAGCGAACCCAGACGCTGGGTTAATATTCATGAGCCCAGCAACTTATCAGCCCGTACCACATTTTATATTATTATTAATAGTAGTATTTTAATAAGTATAACTGTTCATTTTTACAGAAACATTGGATGACCAATAATGTCTCAAGCACCGCCATCAGCCCATAATTCTAGTTCTGTTAAATATGACAAATATACACTATCATTAAAACGTTTGGAGTGGGTTTTATGATCATTTGTTTAATCAGAAAAACAGTAAAACAGTGAAATATTATTATAATGTAAATCATCTGTTTTCTATGTGAATATACAGTAAAGTGTAATTTATTCCTGTGATCAAAGCTGGATGTTCAGCATCATTACTCCAGTCTTCAGTGTCACATGATCCTTCAGAAATCACTCTAATATGAGGATCTGATGCTCAAGAAACATTTATGATTATTATTAATGTTGAAATCAGCTTCATATTTTTGTGGACACTTTTATTGCATTTTATTTTTCTGGATTCTTTGATTAAAAAAACAGCTTTTATTAAGTTGGCTTGTGAGAGCCAACTTACTGATGTTGTATTTAAACTTATTAAGTTGGCTTGTGAGAGCCAACTTACTGATGTTGTATTTAAACTTATTATTATTATTAAGTTGGCTTGTGAGAGCCAACTTACTGATGTTGTATTTAAACTTATTATTATTATTATTATTATTATTCTTCTTACTCAAATTTACAACTCTAACTCCTCCTAGAGCTTTAACTCCACATACTCCAAACTCGGCACGGACACTCAAACTGTTCTGACTCGGTATGCTATATCTTTTCTAACTGATCGGACTTACGGTTTTCCTAAAAATGACGATCAAAGTCGGAAAAAACTCCCATTGACTTTACATTGCGGAATCTTCAGATTTTCAAACTCCCCAACTGCCAAAAATTCAAATGTAAATCCCTTGAAACCCTAGACTGAATCAAACTGCCATTCTATATACTATATGAGCCAATGAGACTCATTTAAACTAATAAACTCATCTATCTATGACACTCATCTATCTATCTACTTTAAACTAAATGAAACTTTAAACTTCAAACTAAATTGAACATCAAACTAAATGAAACTTTAAACTACAAACTAAATGAAACTTTAAACTTTAAACTAAATGAAACTTCAAACTAATGAAACTTTAAACTTCAAACTAAATTAAACTTTAAACTTCAAACTAAATTAAACTTATACATTCTAAACTCATAAACTTTGAGTGAGTGTGTCTGAGTGAATGTGTGTGTGTGTGTGTGAGTTAGTGAGTGTGTGTGTGAGTGTGTGTGTGTGTGTGTGTGTGTGAGTGAGTGAGTGTGTGTGTGTGTGTGAGTGTGTGTGAGTGTGTGTGAGTGTGTGTGTGTGTGTGTGTGTGTGTGTGTGTGTGTGTGTGTGTGTGTGTGTGTGTGTGTGTGTGTGTGTGTGTGTGTGTGTGTGTGTGTGTGTGTGTGTGTGTGTGTGTGTGTTTGTGAATTAGTGAGCGTGTGTGTGTGTGTGTGTGTGTGTGAGCGAGTTTGTGTGTGTGTGTGTAACCGCCTAACACCATAGCAACCACACAAAATACCTTAGAACACCCTAGAAACACCATAGCAACCACCCATAACACCCTAGCAACCACCTAAAATACCTTAGAACACCCTAGTAACACCCTAGCAACCACCCAAAATACCTTAGAACACCCTAGTGACACCCTAGCAACCACCCAAAATACCTTAGACCACCCTAGCAACCACCCAGAACACCCTAGCAACCACCCAAAATACCTTAGAACACCCTAGAAACACCATAGCAACCACCCAAAATACCTTAGAACACCCTAGCAACCACCCATAACACCCTAGCAACCACCTAAAATACCTTAGAACACCCTAGTAACACCCTAGCAACCACCTAAAATACCGTAGAACACCCTAGTAACACCCTAGCAACCACCCAAAATACCTTAGAACACCCTAGCAACCACCCAAAATACCTTAGAACACCCTAGCAACACCCTAGCAACCACCTAAAATACCCTAGAACACCCTAGCAACCACCCAGAACACACTAGCAACCACTCAAAATACCTTAGAAACCACCTAGCAACCACCCACAACACCTTAGCAACCCACTAGAAACACCCTAGCAACATTTAATTACTTGAAACTTTACTTTAACCTTTAAACTACTTTGAACTTTAAACTATTTAAAACTTTAAACTATTTTAAACTACTTTAAACTAATTTAAACTTCAAACTACTTTAAAATTCAAACTTATTTAAACTTTAAACTACTTTAACTTTCAAACTAATTTAAACTTCAAACTACTTTAAAATTCAAACTAATTTAAACTTTAAATTAATTTAAACTACTTTAAACTTTAAACTAATTTAAACTTTAAACTAATTTAAACTTCAAACTACTTTATACTTCTTCAAACTTTGCGGTCCAAACTTTCACAAGCCAACTTAAAGTTTGTCTCGACGAACTTTTTCTAGTTATTATTATTATTCTTCTTACTCAAAATTTACAACTGCTACTCCTCCTAGAGCTTTAACTCCACATACTCCAAACTCGGCACGGACACTCAAACTGTTCTGACTCGGTATGCTATATCTTTTCTAACTGATCGGACTTACGGTTTTCCTAAAAATGACGATCAAAGTCGGAAAAAACTCCCATTGACTTTACATTGCGGAATCTTCAGATTTTCAAACTCCCCAACTGTCAAAAATTCAAATGTAAATCCCTTGAAACCCTAGACTGAATCAAACTGCCATTCTATATACTATATGAGCCAATGAGACTCATTCAAACTAATAAACTCATCTATCTATGACACTTATCCATCTATCTATCTACTTTAAACTAAATTAAACTTCAAACTAAATTAAACTTTAAACTTCAAACTAATTTAAACTTCAAACTTATTTAAACTTTAAACTTCAAACTTATTTAAACTTTAAACTTCAAACTAATTTAAACTTTAAACTCATAAACTCGTACACTTATAAACTCATACACTTATAAACTCATGAATTCATACACTTATGAACTCAAACTCATAAATTAATAAACTCTGAACTCTTACTCATTTAAACTTATAAACTCTAAACTCATAAATTCATACACTTATAAACTCATGAACTTATAAATGCATTAATTCATACACGTATGAACTCTCATGAATTCATACACTTATGAACTTTTAAACTCATAAATAGTTCACCATAGCAAACACCCAGAACACTCTAGCAACTGCATAGCAACCACCCAGAACACCCTAGAAACCAACTGAAATACCTTAGAACACCCTAGCAACACCATAGCAACCACCCACAATACCTTAGAACACCCTAGCA